CCCCCCCCCCCCCCCCCCCCCCTCCTCCAATTCACTTTACGAGATGGGAACCTATTCGGAGTGTAATGACCTGAAAAAGCACAGACTGAGAACCCTGCTGACATCTGAGTTTTGCCGTTGCAATGTGTGCCGTGCTGAAATTCCTGCTTTCTGCAGAAATTTATAAGTTTGCGTGTGTGCGTGCTTGCTGGTTTCCTTGTGCCTGTCTGAGTGCATGTCTGCGTGAGTGTGTGTGTGTGACCCGCCAGGGTACTTGTTTGTTTGGGAGCCCCTCGGGGCCGGTACTGAGGCCCTCAGGGTACTTGTTTGTTTGGGAGGCCCTCGGTTGCAATGGAGAAACAGTGAAGTAGTGTAGGGTAGCACTCAAGTAGCGGTGGTGTAGGCCCTCATAGCTTTGGGTAGTGCTTGAGTAGCGGTAGGCCGAGCAGAAGAAGACAAAAAAGTTAGTACGTTTGGAGGCCGTGTGAATTTTAGAGTCCGGTAGGCCTAGGTCTAGGGTACCAGTCCTGAAGTCTGAGTCGAGGGCCTGTAACGAACGATATCACACCTGCAATGATGTTTCCCTCCGAAAAGGAGGAGGTACCGGCTGCTTGGGAGGCTGCACGGCCTGGAAATCACCGCTCAAGAGGCAAGTTGCTTGCTATATCTTGGAGGAGAGCACTAGGCTCATCCCTCATTTTGCGGTACGGAAGTTTGGGCGTCACGCGGCTGGAGCGCCTGGTGCTTGAGCGCCGGCACAAACCCCCCTCCAGAAAGACGAACCCCCACAGGTGTCAACTTGAAGTACCTGATAGAGCTTGGAGGTAAGTGGATCACAAATCTCCCGTAATTCATTCCGGAAAGTTTTCAGGAATACCATCAGAGCGCCGAGGGGTGTGCATATTCTGGCCATAATCATGAGCAACTTTCATGCTATGCTATGCTATAATGATATAATCCAGGTCAGCTCATAATGCAAATTTCAAGGAGAGACAATGCCGTTCAATTGCTACGCTAATGAACGAAGAATGGACGAAGGAGACAAGGAATAAGAAGAAGAAGAAGAGAAACACAAGCTGGAAGAAGAAGAAGAAGAAGAAGAAGAAGAGAAACACAAGCTGGAACCAATGTCCTCCTCCCCTCAACTCACCTCCATCATATCACCCCCCATCATCACATTCCCACTTTGTCAGGTTTCAAACCATATCTGGGAGCACCAAATCGGTTAGTCACATGGCTAAGTGCTCTCACTGGCTCGGTCGAACTGTCAGATTCTACATGAAATGTCTATGTAGGTCCGCGCGATGACACATTCTCATTGACCTGCTGAAATCGTTTCGCATCTGATCTAAATTGGAAATTCAAGCCGCTGAATACGGTCTGAAAACTGACGAATTTGAAATGGGTTTGCCAACTTTGTCTCAATTGTTTCATTTCGTTTTTCATCGAACTTACCTGACCTACAATAAACTCAGTTCAGAATCTGCACGAGTCAAGGGCAGGATCGCAACTTTTGGTCGAAGGCCAGAAAGAGGGGTCAAAAGTCACGTTCTGAGTCCCTTAGAGGTCTGAGGAAGTCCCTAGGGGGTTAAGGGGCACGGGGCCCTGAGTCAAAAGCTGCGTCCAGTAACCCCACGAGGAACATTTGACTCTTTGAGAATCAAGAGTCAGACCATGGACGGGAGAAGTAGGCCCAAAGTCAAAGTCAAAGTCAACCCAGTAGTCCACCACAGCCGTAGATCAGATGCACATCAATGGTTGTCTGCAGGATTCCATAAGATTCCAGTACCAGCTGGGAGACGGAATGTCTCCTTCAAGGATGCATCCCGGCCGTCGAGACCAGGAACATCTGTACTGTCGATGCGGTCAAAGGAGGGACTGGTCAACGGCAGTCAACGTGAGTCAACGCTATGATATTGACGGCCAGAGCACTGGGGAGGACATTCTGCCTTGCGCTGCTTCGCGGCAAAGGTGCTCCTCGCGAGGCTCTTGTGGGAGGGGCTGGCGCCAGATGCTGCTGGAGGGTGCCAGCCTAGTTAGAGGACATGCTGAGGCGGCCATAGGGGCCATAGCCGCCATAGCCATAGGCGTAGGTGATGAGGTTGGGCAAGGAGGAGGAGGATCAGGGCTGTGAGACTGATGATAGTTTAGAAGTGAAGCTTTACCTGGACGTACCTGGCGTCAACACGATTGATCTGTTGTTGATATTCACAAAGGTGAGGAAGGACAGCGCCATCCTTCATAACTTGAGGTCGACTGTGGAAGAAGGATGAACACACTGCTGCTGATATCTGCACAGTGACTACGTCAGTGGACGTCAGAGGAGAGCATGTACTGCTGAGGTGGCGATAGGGGAGAGAAACCCGAAGAGGAAGTGGGATCAGGAGAGCGACATACATGATGTAACTCTCGACGTCCTTCCATGTCTAGTCTCCCTTCCATCTATATTCTTCGTCAACTCTTGTCGATGATTATTCGATGCTGATGACATGTGCAATCGAGCGTGACATTGCGATTATTTGGAGACTTTATGTTGAAGGCTGGGATCAGATGTGTGTGGCGATGCTGTTTGGCTTCTCAGCGACGCAGGGTTCATTATTATAGACCAAAGGAGATAATAATAATAAGCAACATCAATGAATGAATGTGCCAGAATCGATGTCTGATTGATTACTCCCCCCTTACTGCCAGCGTTGCCAGTAGATTGATTGAATTTGGCTCGCTATTTGACTTGAAGTTTTCAACTTATTAAGTATGCATTTGGAATTCTGAATGTTCAGGTTACGGTTCAACTGTTGTCCTCACATGAGGACGTGCTTGCACAATCGACCCGGCCATCCATCATGCGCTTCAGGTCACTGCCAGTGCGACTTGTGAGATCAGCTCTGCTTCTCATGCCTATTGTCTGTGGGTTCATTGATGATGATCAGGTGAGTTGAGGTCATTCTGGCTCAAATTTCATCAATGCCTGCACTATGTGCTCTATCATATTCTCCTAAATTCCGGAACTTTTTTTTTTTTTTTTTGCTTGTTTGTTGCTCTGGAGGGCAATCATTTTATGACTGGAACTCTTTAAGGACCAAGTCATCTGAGCCGATCAACCTGCAGCTCGAAAAAGGGGTAGTAGAGAACAGCAGGAGCACAGGGAACGGGTTCATCCACTAATCAACCAGGAGCTGACGTGGCAGATTGCAACAAACACATTGGCAGGAAGACTGATGACCAAAGAGTCAGCAAGGGAGAGCAGCAGCGGTCAGGCAGGGAATGGGAACCTCAGTGGCAGGGGGGGGGAGGGAGGGAGGGAGAGAGAGAGAGAGAGAGAGAGAGAGAGAGAGAGAGAGAGTCTGTTACTCTGGATGTCGAGTCCTCTGGGTGTTGGCTCTGTTAGCGGGGGTCTCCCTTTCTTCGTTCACTGTATGGTTTCTATATTTTGTTTTCATCTGTTTTGCGCTGACAACTTGTGATAATGTTTGTTCTCCCCCCCCCCCCCCCCCTGAGGGTCAAAGAGACAGATCCTTCTGATGATATTGCAAGGAACACGAGCAATGCGAAGTACTGAAACCAAATTGCATCATCCCATTCAAAGCCAGAAAAGCACGTGCTCAAACAGAAAGCAGATGCACCAAGATATACATATACACCAAATAAGAGCAAAGCAATGAACTCAATTGATAATGTAAGCCCTCACCTCGCCTCCACCATCGATGTTTCCAGTGTCGCTCTCCTAAATGGCGCTTGGTGCCGGAAAACAATCAGACAGCACCTAGGCTAGCCTAGCCTCTAATGATGTCAACAAATCTTCATGGAGTCCAGCTTCCAGATGATAAATGAAGACTTCGGCTGGACCGACCCACTCATCATCGCCATGTACGTGGCCCGACCATGTTTTTTAGCGCCCGCCTTCACTTAGGGCTGGCGCGGACTGTTACGACCGGGCAAGGGACCCTTCCAGCGGGTGCAGGCCCCAATTTTAAACCAAGGTCGAGGGCCTTATGTCTTGCACTCCCGCCCCCTCAGCTTCGAACTCCTCTGACATAGCTTTTAACCCACTTGCTGTTTCCCCTTTATAGATCTCTCATAACTGGAGACGGCTTGGGGTGTGCTGTCTTAATCAGCTTCTCTCTCGTAAACCATCGGTCTTCTTTAGGATCGGTACGGCGCTTGAATCTGATCCTGAACTACATCTGCAGTTTCGGCAATCTTCTTCTGCCAGCAGGCGTAGGGACAGGCATCAACTCGCGTTGAACGATCTGGTCGATGTCCGCGTGTCCGTCCGTGGCTGGGGGTAGCATTGATGTCCTTGGAAGGAAACTGATCAGTGTGAGTGAAAGGGCGAAGCTTAGAGGCATGGAAGATTGGGTAAGTGCCTGGATGTGGAGGTACACGGATCACATAGGACGGACTATCAGGATCAGAACCCACAATGTCGAAGGACTTCCCCACCTGATAGGTTGAAATGACTGTGGATTAGCTTGCACGAGATGTCTATCTCCTGTGTGAACTCTGATGACTTGACCCATACCCTTTCTCCCACCGGAAACTTCGACTCTCTTCTATGTCTGTTCTCAGATGCAATCATTACAATTTGAGATTTCTGAGTCGGCGCGGTATCCTTCTGCCGCAGCTTCTTGTACTCAATGCTGAACTCGATGCTACCTGGTGTAGGAGCGGGTTTTTTAGTGTCAGGAAGGAGGAAGTCTTACGGTGTCCTGGGCTTCCGTCCAAGGTGCAGCTGATTCGGTGTCCGTCGAATTGTACTGTGCACAACATTATTAAACAAGCCAGTGATGAGAGGAAGCTTCTCATCCCGATCATCTTGGCTGGGCTGTATGTAATGCCTCAGCAAGTGCTGGAGTACCCGATTCACCTCTCCCTTAGCTTCGGGACGGTTCCCATATGTCATTTGCAGCTGGGCGTATGAACTGCTCATTTGTACAATCAATATGTCAAATAAATGAGACGTTGTAGAAGTCCACAACGAGACGGACATGACTTATTCAACGCCGTTGAAGATACTCGTAGTGAAGAACTCGCTGCGAAGACTCAAGCTCGTCGTGAAAGGGGATCACTGGGAATATCCAGCCTTTGGTTGAAGCCCATCTGTTCCACAGTTTTCTTCCACTGTTTGCTAGTAAATCTGACATCTCAGTCGCTAACAACTGACTTTGGCAAAACAAAATCTCTAACCCAGTGCTCCATGAACATCTTAATGACAACAAGGTCTGTATTAGTGGTTCCTGGCAGTGCAGCTAACCTAGCCTACTTAGAAAGTTTGTCGACAATAGTGAAAATGTGTCTCGTCCCAGACTTGTTGGTCACTAGGGTGTCCATAAAGTTTATGGACAAACTCTCTCCTAGTTCAGCAGGGATGGGCTGAGGTTTGACTAGTCCTAGAGGTGCTCGAGTCCTCGGTTTGTCTCTCTCTGACAAAGTTGGCATGTCTCGACATACTTTTTTGCATCCTCTAGCGTCGCGGTGTATCTTTCCAGGTTCTGCATGAAGATTTATTCTCACGGCAGGCGAGTTGGAACAGCCCCACAACGTCTTTTTTTTTCTCTTTCTTTCTTCTCTATTAGTCGAGTACCTCCACCGTATTCTCGACATGACTGTATAGGAGTTGAAAAGACATTAAAAAAAGCGGATGTATCTTTCCATGTTCTAGCGGGTTATACGTCATCATTCTGCACAAAGCCTCACCAATGTGTTCTCGTTTTGTTCTTTTTATTACAGCAAAATCTCCAGTAAAACCGGGTGTCAGCTCTGTCGTTCCCTATTTTTCTAGTTAACGTTCGAGAGAGCACTATGAGCCCTCATCATGACTGTACCGGACCTGGAAGACCCCCACGAGACTGTACACACAACACAAACACAAACACAGTTTTTTGGGGGCGCTGTCGCACACGCCCCCGAATGTTTTTCTTTTTTTGTTCCTCTTGTATTTGTCCTGGGGGAGGCACCCCACCCCACCCCTCCCCGATTTTTTCCACGGTCCCCATTTTTGGGGGCGGGCTGCACTTCATGTGCACGCATCAATGTGAGAAGCGCTATGCGCCGCACGTGTGGCATGCTCTGCTCGCACACGAAGTGCACCGCATGTATGGTACAAATCGAGAAAAACAAAAGCCAAAACAAAACAAGAAAAAATGATGCTCCCTAAGGTTGTTGCCTTTGTCTGATTCCACCTGTTTGCTAAAGAAACGAAACGACGGAAATCGATAAAATTGGGGGGAAAAAAAAGACGACCCATAACATTGTTGTGTTCATCTGATTCGGTCACAATTCCAGCTTGTGACGTTGTGAACTGTTTACTAACAGTTATGTGTCTGCTGTTTGCGCACATGGGCCAGGCTTGTGCTTGTATCCGAACAGCCCGTTGCGCAAAACTGTGCAAATGATAAAAACAAAAGCAAGAAGATGTGACTTCAACTGACTTGTTTAGTGACAGTTAATGTCTGCTGTTCATCCACATGAGTTGGGCATGTACTACTATTGTCTTAACCAGAAAACAAGGTACGTAGTACGTACCTTGTATTCAAGTTTTCTCCGAAACATGGGTTCTGAGAGATCGCTGTTAAATTTTCGAATAGAAGGTACCCTCGAATACAAGGTACGTACATTGTATTCTAGGTGGGCCTTGTCTGATATACGTCACTACGCGGCCATGCTGTGCCTCTAGTGCCAGCGGCGTGTCTGGAGTGTGTTTTTTGGCTGTGACAGACCTTTCTTTGTTTCGTGGGTGTTTTGCTGGCTTGTGATGGGGTGTGAACCGACAGTCTGTAGAGTTTTCCATCTRGTGTGGGTGAGTGATAGTCTACTTTGATTTTGGTTAAGGTGGATTATCACTTACAGTGTAATCAGTGAGGGGATTCTRCAGACTGTTGAGGGTTCAGCCTCCTGATGAGTCGGTGAAACTCCGACGAAACAGTTTGTCACAGCCCCTCGTTTGTTGTCCTCTTCTCCCTCTCTGCCTACGGTTTACCGGGCAGTTCTATTTGACGATATATATATGTTTGTGGCGATATATATATGTATATATATATGTATATATATATGGTTGGCTGTAATCTACTCACGAGTCACGCCTTGCACAAAAGACAAAATCATAACGGTGTATCTTTCCCTCGATTTGCACATGTCGAGAGTAGTGGCGCGAGGCCCAGACTCTGAAGTCTACTTCGCACGAGCTCAAGACGCTACTGTGGAATCACTGTGTTGTTTTTTCAAAAAAAAGAAAAAGAAAAAGAAAAAGAACTTCACGCTGCAGGCTGCAGCCCATCCTGGAAGCGGTTGACTGTGTTCTATTCGTGGTATTATTACTAATATTTACTATATACTATATAGTATATAGTATATATTTCTTTATTCCCCCTTCCCCCCCCCCCTTAGGAAAGTTGCACCCTAAAATTTGTTCGTAAGGTACGTACCCGATGTATTCGGATACAAGGTGCCCCGTATGGAATTTTCTGATGAGTTTTCTGGACGTACTCGTTATGGGAAGCTGGGCCCGGTTCCCAGCTGGTGCCAATTTGTGAGGATATGGTTGTATCTATGGGACGCTGGACCCGGTTTCCAGCAGGCGCTGCTCCCCACCAATAGATGGAGCTTGGTTTTCTTACAAAAAAAAAATAAAAAAAATACAAGGTACATACCTTGTTTTCGGGTTAAGACTGCAGTATTTGGACGGTCGGTCGCCTTTGGGAAAAAGTTTGCCTTCTTCCGAGGCTTGTGCACATGGGCCAGGCTTGTATTTGAACAGCCCGTCACCCATAACTGCACAAAACCCTAAAAACGAGACCTGTTTAGTAACGGTTACTTGTCTGCTGTTCATCCACGTGCGCTGGGCATGCACTTGTGTGGTCGTCGTTGGCAAACGTTCCCCCAGGTTCCAGGGCCTGCTTTATGCTTTAGGTATGGTAATAAATAATAATTATGTACACGCGGCAAACAGTTTGTCACAGCCCGTCGTTTGTTGTCCTCTTCTCCCCCTCTCTCTCTGCTGACGGTTTACCGGGCAGTTCTGTTTGACGCTAGGCTGCCAGTTGTCGGATGGCAGGACATCCTGGCCGGACAGTCAGGTGGGGGCCTGGACGTCCGGCCCCGGACAACTCCATTTTCAGCAGTTTAAAGCACGGAAAATTTGGAAAAAAAGAAAAACAGACTGGGGGTGTCTTTATTTTATTATTATTATTATTTTTTTACATCATCAGATAAAGAATTTCGATGTGACCTCAAGGCAAAAGTTGCTCAGTTTATTTTTCTGCATAACATAGTTTTTTTTTCGTTTTTTTTTTTTTTTTTTTTTTTTTTTTTTTTTTGACGATATGTATATGGCAAATTGGCAATATTCCTTGAGAAGAGAACAGAATCGGTAATAATGGCCACGGCAAACATTACACGTGCATCTCGTTATGCAGATCATACATACTTTTTGTTCGACCTTTTTCCTTTTTCCCTCATGCTCTGCATTCTGTGGTATTCGGTACTTGTCTGACTCAGGACATCAAGCTGCATGTGATCAAGGGGTATGTGGAGCGGGAGGTTCCGGTGGCCATGATTCGTGTGATGTTGGATGCAAGGGCAGGAATGTCTCTGAAAGAGGGCTTGCCAGAAGTGTATGGAGCGGATCTGATAGTTGATACCACTCCTCGCGGAGTTCGTGCCTTTGTCCATCGATGGAAGTAAGTCAAAAGCCAACAACCTGTGTGTTCCATCCTTGAGGCCTCCCACTCTCCTCTCCCCACCCCGCTTTTTTTGTTCCCTGGCATCGCCGTTGACGTCTGGTCTTTCGTCGCTCGACTATTTTCTTCTTCTGGTCTTTCCCTTTGCTTCTGAGGGGAAAGCTGTGGGTTGGATGCTACCGATGGTGAGAAAGACGAAGAAAATCCTCCCTAAGCAGGCTTCAGTGCCGCATCACTCCATTTTGGCGTGCTTTGCTTCTGTGCCTCTTTCTTTGGGCCATGCTAATCTTCTCTGCATCGTCGCCTTTAGACCACCACTACCTTTCTCAGTGTTGGGAAAAACGGGAATATATCATATATGCGAGGGCTTTACCCCCCAGCATACCTTCATAAGGCCCCTGCAACAGATGCGTGCCCGCCCTAAGTGGAGGCGGGCCCCTGAATCGCAATGAGCCCTGAATTCGTCAATTTTTGCAAATCTTGGTGGGCGCCAGTTACATCCGCCTTGCTCGTGAGAATCTGAAATATTCGTGAGCCTTCCAGGCTTTTCCAGCAACGTGGTGAAAGCAGGGAACAGCTGCTGCGGCAGGCTGTCAAGCACATAAGGAAATCACAGGATGCCATGGTTGCGTCTGTGATTTTCCTTGCATGTACGTCACACTGCATTTTTCGGAGGTCTGGACGAGGCTCGGCCAGAAAGAAATGTTTGGGCCCTATGGGCCTGCAGATAAAACAAAACAAAAAAAGACGAGACTTATTTGGTCGGCGGGGCGGGGAAGGTCTTGCACGAGGTCCTGCACACACCAATTCTACCCGTCATGTATCTAACCAGTAATGTGGATAGTTTCAGGTTTTCTTCTTTGTGTTTTTCTTTTTCCCCTGTTGGTTTGTTTAGTGCCCTGCCAGCGAGGCAGGGCGCATTCCACGGATGCTGACACGTTGTCCACAGAGGGCTCGCACACACACTACTGCTCGCCTCAATGTATCAATCCGCTTTCTTGTGCTTGAAGGTGGTCACAATTTTTTTTTTTTTTCTTCTTTTGTTTGTCGCGAACCTGACGGCCCTCGGTAACACCCTCACTGAGGGCTTTTTTTTTTTTTTTNCCCCCCCACCTCATTGAGGGCTTACTCACACATGCACTTTGTATTTGTTATGCCCCCGCGAAAACGTCCAAAGGGTGGTTGCTTTTTTTTTTGTCTTCTCACCTGGATGTGACTGCGCCGGGCCCCCCACTTTTCGGCCCTGAGTAACCATGAATGATCCTGAAATTAGGGTTTCGGGGTCAAATTTTGTGTTTTTTTGGATTTTTTTTTTTGCCTGTTTTTGTTTTTGGACAAGCTTGCTGTGTGTCAAATTTGGTGTCATTAGGGTTAGTAGAATTTGTGCTGTTGATCATTCTGAAAATCCTGAAATCTCGATGAATTTTTTTTTGGCCAAATAGCCTGAAAATGCACTTTCGATGTGCTGTTTTATGTGTTTTTTATTATTATTTTTTTGCTTTTTTTTTTTAATATGTTAGTAAGAACTGCACTCTATACGTTGGTGTGGAGTTTGCTTGAAATGGCCTTATGGTTTTCTTATAAATTGAGGTGAAAAATGGGGGCTCGGTTAACCGGCTCTCGAGACCCAGGCTCTGCAGAACTTTGCGCGTGGTGAAAATCAGGATCGACAAAAACAGGCTCGGAGGTAGTGGTGGTTTAAACCACCAGTACCTTTCCCAGCTATTTTTCCAGAGGCACGCCGGGTAACACGCTGGCCCGAAACGGAAGGGCGGCCGCCGATAAATCGAACCGGCGGGCAGTCTTGATTTTCGTGCCGGCGCGCAGTGCCTGCGGCCGACATATGGGAAAGGTACTGGTGGTTTAATGGACGTCCTTCAGTAGCTTCACTCCGGCCAGTGTCGTTTGGGACATCCAATAAAATTGGAACGCCACAAAGAAGGAAGATTAGCATCGCCCGTGTGCGCAAGGATGACACGTACAAGTCGAGAAATGGTCCAAATTGGAAGAAAAAAAAAGAAGTTGGGGCCAGTGAAATATGAGGGTATGCTATTTGAATTACCTGCAGATTGTTTCATTGGCGGCTGAGCTGGAAAGCCATTTGTATTTCTCGTTCTTGCCCTTCTGTGTGTGTGTGTGTGTGTGTGTGTGTGTGTGTGTGTGTGTGTGTGTGTGTGTGTGTTTTGGGAGACCCCGACTGTCTTCCCAGGATGCATTTGACTGATTCCTGAGAACAAGTCGAGAAATGGTCCAAATTGGAAGAAAAAAAAAGAAGAAGTTGGGGCCAGTGAAATATGAGGGTATGCTATTTGAATTACCTGCAGATTGTTTCTTTGGCGGCTGAGCTGGAAAGCCATTTGTATTTCTCGTTCTTGCCCTTCTCTGTGTGTGTGTGTGTGTTTTGGGAGACCCCGACTGTCTTCCCAGGATGCATTTGACTGATTCCTGAGAACTCACCGTCTTGCCCAATGTTAGTGATATGTTTGAGAATAGTGGTCGGCTTTACTCGAACCGAATCAGCCATTATAGCAGACTGCTTTCTTCAACACCCCTTACAATAACAGCTGTAGGTCCGGAAAACTAGTCCATTACAGGATCCACAGCCATAAAAGTCACTCCACACACCCACTCAGCCGTTTGCTCTGTGTGTGTGTGTGTGTGTGTGTGTGTGTGTGTGTGTGCGTGTGTGAGGGAGTGTGTGTGTGTGTGTGTGTGTGTGTGTGTGTGTGTGTGTGTGTGTGTGATGTTCACTTTACACAAGTCCACAACAAAGCGTGACAAGTGCTGGTCATCCCAACCTGAGTGTTCTAAGTATACTTGCTGAAAGAAAGATCATTATGGAATTTAATCTGCCAACAACCTACCCACCTCCAGAGAACATGGAAGAGAATTAACTCAAAAATATATTGTCCATGGCAATAAGGCAGCAAGCAAAAGACTGCGAACGGCAAGACAGGGAAGTGACTAGGAATTGGGCGTCAGGCACCAGCAAGGTGCACAGGCGGGAGGGCACGGGGGGAGGCAGGTGCACAGACCGTAGATAGATAAGTGGAGGCAACAAATGGAAAGGTAGGCAAAAAAAGAGTGAAGGAAAGGGCATGAGGGGACACGGCATGTGACGACGTGCGAGCTAGCCCAGTGAGGCGGGTGTGGTTCGATCCTCGTATCTGAGGGGTAGAATCTCAGTGTCTGTACCTACTGGGCTAAGTCCTATTACAAAAGTAATAGGAGCGGATCTTCTACATGAAGATCCCCAACCCAGCAGCAGGCTCGCGACTTAAGTCTGCCGGTAGGACGAGCCGCCAATCCAAACGGCCAGGAACACATCCCAACGGCTGGGCACCAAACCAAAAGGTCGGGGCACCAAGCTCCACCAATCCGACGCAGGCCTATGCTTGGCTGCGGCCAAAGGCAAAAATCTGGCCCAGTTCTTTGGCCCGAATTAGCTGTCCCATAGCCTCAAGGAGGCCGTAACTCTATTGTTCTGACCCTGAATCGTGCAGACAAAGGCTGGAGGGCAAGGGGAAGGGGGGGTGGGCACAAAGGCATGAGGCAAGAATGCCCAGGGCGACAGGCAGCAGTAAAGAAAAAAGGCTGGAGGGCACGGGGGAGGGAGGAGGGGAAGACGATACACAAGCACACAAAACAGGGAAACCAGAGAAAAAATGCAAGTCCCAAAAAAAGGGAACACCGGGAAAAAAAAAAAAAAAAAGGGATGATGAGACATTGTTTTGTAGAAGTTGCGCCGACTCATCAGGAGGCTGAACCCTCGACAATCTGCGGAATCCCCGTATTGATGACCCTTTGATACTTGTCGAAAGTAGGACTGTCCACAAGCAGAACACAGCAGGCAACAACTCAGCAAAGCGCCAGGCAATGCTGCTGAGGAAAACCAACTGCGCAACGCCAAAAGCTAACTCCATGAACGACAGCGCAAGCAGATGGGCAGCATGGCAACCATGCAGTGAAGCACAGGGCAACACCAACACAGCAGCCAAAATACACGGCACACAAGCTAAGAACATGAAAGGTAAGGGATGCGGATGGGCAGCAGGGCAGCAGTGCAGGGAAGCGCAAGGCAACACCAAAATCACAGTCACACCACACAGTTGCAAAGAACAACATGTGAAGCAAGCAGGACTCTGCAAGGCAGCAGCAGAGCAGAGACAAGGCAGTCTACGCATCCAACACAGAGCAAAGCGGCACATCATCTACTCACATCATGAGTGAACCCCACAGACTGTTGGTTCCCACCACCCGCTGAGTCAGGGAGTCACTGTGATGGACATCTGTCATCACCCTCAGACCATATGCACCACACAGACATCACAAACAGAGCCGCTCCCCTAAGATTCTTGCGGCCGCTCCAAACAACGGACCACATACTGTTTAGCACTTCTTAAAGGTGCTCACCCAGGCACACAGAAAGTGCTAAAAAAAAATCCAAAACGAGGAAAAACGTACACAAAACTGATTGAGTCAATTTGAGTGTGTGTGTGTGTGTGTGTGTGTGTGTGTGTGTGTGTGTACAGATATGGTTGGTCATAAATTTGGAGATTTTGCTTCTACAGTGAATCTACACGTAAAACTTCGAAAACAAATAAGGAAACAAAAAAATACAAACAAATAATGGCCCAAAAAATTCAATCCAATCTTAGCCAGACTCAATGTGAATCGTAGTCCAGATTCTTGTTGGTTTAGTGAGGGCGACCTTTTGTGTGTGTGTGTGTGTGTGAACATTGTGAAGACTGATTTCGACAAGGATCCATGCTCGTACCGTGCATTCTTAACTAACGAGAAATGTAACTGAGCAAAACAAACAATGCACACTTCATTAACGAGAAAGGTACCCACACAATTCATATGATCCACGCTTGTACCGAGCATTCTTAACTAACGGGAAATGTAGTTGAGCAAAACAAACAATGCACACTTCATTAACAAGAAAGGTACCCACACAATTCATATGTATTATGTAGTCATGAGAAAACGCACTGGTT